TTTTTTTTCTTTTTTTGTTGAGCTTCAAAGGGTCCCATTCTTCTTGCTCCACCAGGCCTTCCCACACCTCTCCCATTATTGGGTGGTGCAAGTGCTTCTATACCAGTTTCTAACCACTCTAATCTACCATTAAGAGGGAATATAACTGGTTCATAAACTTTCCTATAGGTCTCCTATCTATAACAACTATGAGTGAAGTCCTTATAATCTTTCCCCTCAGCATAGATAGCACATAGGGCATGACAACAAGGAATTCCAGTTAAATCCCATTTTCTACATGCACAATTACAGTTCTTCAAATCGACATTATACTTATGACCATCAGCACATGAAATGCTATAATAAAACTCATCTGATTTGATAGAGAAACAACCTCCAACCTCATTTTGGTTCTTTTGAATTATTTTTTGAATTTTAGGACAAAAATCACCTTTCCATTTTTGGGTGGCCATATCTCTGTTCTTTTGCATCCTAGACATCAAATACTCCACCAACCATTCAAACATGGACAATATTGGTTTTTTCCTTGCTTCCAGAATATTTGAATTAAATGACTCACAACCATTATCTAAAAGCATGTCACACTTACTAAAATCTGAAAAATGTGACATGCTCCATTGATGTGGTGGCTTGTCATTGAACCATGAAAATGCTTCACCACTCATTTTTTGAAAAGCTTCCATTTTTCTTGTAAACTCAGGCACAGTAGTTGCTTTTGCAGCATTCCATAAAGCTACTTTGTATGCTTGTCCTCTCCAACCAGCCCTACTGAAATTTGAGTGCAAGTGCCTAACACAAAATCTGCGTTCGGCATTTGGAAATACTTCATCAAATGCTTGGATTGGGCCTTTTTGCTTATCATACATGAAGGTGCACTCATAGTCTGTTTGAAGCTTCAAATCTCTCTTTAGAAAAAGCAAGAACCACTCCCATGTGTCCTTATTTTCTTTGGAAACTACTGCCACTGCTATTGGGAATATATTATTGTTCGGATCGACACCAACAGTTGTTAAGAGCATGCCTCCATGGGGACCTTTCAAATGACATCCATCCACACCAATAAAAGGCCTGCAACCTGCCATAAAACCATCCTTCAATGCCTTAAGACACAAGTAGGTTCTGTCAAATATCTTCTTTCCATATTCAACCTCAGTACCTATGATAATAGTACTCCCTAGATTGCTCCTTTTTATCTCTTCAGCAAAGTTCCATAGAAGGTTGAATTGCTCATCTGCACTCCCTTGAAGGGCTTCAACTGCTAGCTTTTTTGCCCTATATGCTTGAAAGTTACTGATTTGAACTCTGATCTCATCCATTGCATCTGCCCTAAAACCTTTAACCTTTCTAGTAGTTTCTGAGTTGAACTTCTGAGCATACTTAGCAGACAACCAACTTGAAGTTAGGTTTTTCACCTTGTAAGAGGGAACACATGTATGTTCACTGAGATATGCCCTAATCTGAAAGGTTTCTTCACCATTCAACTTCAGAGCATGCAATTTCCACTTGCACCCTTCACCTTCACACTTTGCATGCATTCTTATGTTATCATTCTTTGTTATCTTGATGTTTCTCTTTGTGTTGATGGCATGAGAGTGAATGGCCTTTCTGAGCTCTGACTTGGTAGAGAAAATCATCCCAATGCTGAAATTTGGATTGAAAATATGAATAGGATTAAAACTACTGAGCCTATTTCTTTCAGCTTCACTGTCTGAACTTTTGAGACTAATAAGATCATCATCGCTTGGCATTAGATTCTCCTCCTCAGATTGGTTAGTCTCTTCAACAACGATTTGCTTATTGCCTGGAAACCATTCCACATCAGAATTTACAAAATTTTCGAACAATCCATCATCATCAACAACCTCTTCTTCTAACTCATAATCATCATCCTCACAATCGGAATACGATCCTTGACTAGCTGAAGACGACGAGGATGGCATTTTTGTCTTAATTTTTTCAGATTTCTGGAAAAATGGTAACTCGTACTGGTAAGAGTTAAAATGTTGAAGATGATATTAGGGCTTTTCATAAAGGAGGGAAAAGGAAGCAATTTTCCCTCCAAATTCAAGTAATTAGGGCAAAATGATGAAATTAGGGCATTTTGTTCTTTATGTTTGTCCCTCAGCTCCACGTCTCACCTGTTTTAATTGGCTTCGGGTCCACGCAGGCAGCCACGTGCGATTGAGGGTTTTAAATTGGCCCGCTGGGCCAAAAAGGACGAAAGTACTTAATTTTTAAGTTGTCGGACTAAACTTAAAAAGTCAAATTGAAGCGGACCAAAATAAAAAAGGTATAAACATACAGGACCATTTGTATAATTTTCCCCATCCCCTAGTCTCCATATATATTAATTCAAAATGTGTTCAACCTAAGTTAGATATATCGACGGGCCTTGCCGGTCCATCGGCCCGACCCGGTCCGCAACCAGCCTAGATTTTGCCGGTTCGTTGAACCCGAAACCTTAGCCATTCAGGTCAGTTCCGGTTCTTAGTTTTTTTTTTGTCTCAGTGGTCCGGGTCGGGCCGCGTGTCGGAAGACGGGCGACATTTCTATTTTTTGTTTTTTATGGGCCGGGTTCGAACTGGCCAAAAACCGACTGGTCGGTTCAGTGAACCTGCCCATAGAATTGGTCGAGGTCGGGTCACGACCCGTCAGTTGGCCACAACTAGCCTAAAGTGTCATGTTCAAATGCTTCGGGATCCTATGTGTCAAAATTACATGATTTGTTGTTAGGCTTGGGTATATCCAAATAAATAATTAGCTTCGAATTATCAATAAATATGTTGATTATTTATGGTCATGTTACATGTATTAATTGCATCTTAATATCATCATTTATTATTATAACCATTGAATTGTAAATGTATTTTAAAAGTTAATAACTTTTATATTTTTTTATTAGTTTTACATATATATTATATCAATTTAATCATCCCTAGACGAGTTTCGATTTTAACATTCATATTGTATGTATAAAAAATTAAATTATATTAAAATTATTTTTTTAATATTAGTTGGAAAAATAAAATTATTTATCACTTAATATATTTATATTTAAAGTAGTTATATGATATAAGTTATAAAATTTACTATAATACAACACATGTCAGTCGCACAAGTAACAATTGACATTCTAAAATATATAATAATATATATGTTTTGTAAAAAAAATTAAAATTTATAATAATTTTTTTCATTAATTTTAAAATTTAAGAATTTAACAAGCACCCGTGTAATACACGGGTGTTATACTAGTATGATAATTATTCATAAAAATAAATACTTATAATTTTATAAATTTTATGTATAAAAATTAATATTTAAAATAAAAAGTTGTGCAATGTGTGTTACATTGTATAATTTTGTTATTGTCTAAACTAAAAAAATATATTATGGAAATTTATCTACGTAAAATCGCTCGCGACTTTCTCTGCCCTAAATCGCCCAACACTCGTCGCCGTTTTGTGCCTCTCCTGTCTTCCCCGGCGAATGTCTCTTGGTCGCACTCCTCTTCCCCGATTTTGTGTTGTCCACTCATGTCTTGCTCCGTCGAAGGCTAGAGGGTTTTCCCAGAAGGGTTGTGCCGCTCTTTGGTTGCCGGTTGTGGCGAGGTTCTCCGGCCGCTCCAGTGGTATGGGATTGTGGTGGGGAGTGGCCCTGGCTGCTTGCCGTCGTTGGTGGTAAGCCGGCCGGGGTGGATGAGCGTGGCCAGACTTCCCCGTTTCTTCGTCTCTCTGGTGTGCTGGTCGGGGAAGACCGACACCTCCGAGCCTGGTCCAGTGGTGTTGGCACGGTCCGGAGTTGTGGTGGGGGGGGGGATCTAGCTACGTTTTGTTTCGGCTGCGGGTCGGCCTCTTTCTTGTGGTGGTGCGGGGCTTGTGATTCGACTTCAGCTAGGACTATTGGCTGTTCCGGGAGTGGGGTCCTGGCCTACGAATCTTGCCATGGGATGGTTGGCCTTGTTCTGCTGGTGCCTCGTGCAGGGCTCGGTGTATTCTGCTGGGGAAGGCTTTGTATGTCTTTATGTGTTAGTTGTTTCGGTTGTTTATTTTTTCTTTTGTTGTGGTTGTGTCTTGTGGGTTTGCTCCCTAGTTCATGTTGTTGTGTTGGGTCTATTCTCCCTTTGAGAGCCTAATTCTCCTGTTGGGAGTTGAATTCTCCTCTTGGGAGTAGGGATGTCAATAAAACCCATAGGGTCGGGTTACCCGCGGGTTACCTGCATTTTTGGGTCGGGTAAACCTGAGATGATTGGGTTTCGGGTCGGGTTAGGGTAGAATTATGCTACCCGAACCCCGGGTCGGGTGCGGGTATAGTAGGCAAACCCATTACCCGACCCGATTACCCTACCCGTTTATCCGCAACCATTGAATTATATATACATACATACATATACATATATATATATATTTATGACTTATAATAAATATAAAAGTAGTCATGTGTTATTTTTAAAAATTAGATTATCTATTATAATTTTAATTAATGGTTAAACTTAGTTTATTTTTTATAATTTTATTATCATTTTTTGTTAATTGTATAATAAAAAATATTTGTTTTAAATATTATAATATTAAATAGACTATAAA